GTTCTGATTTGAAAATGAGAGCGTGTTGACAGAAATGTAATTACTATCAAATTTAATTAGGTAGTGTTATTGAGCAGATAAACAGATGACTTCTAATGCGTAAGCTCAAAAGCCAACTTCATTATTGTGTTCAGTTTTTGTTTTAATCAGGTGTTACTTAACTTTATGATCCATTTCCAGACTCCACTGCTGTTGAAATGCGGTCTGTTATTTCGTTCATACTCCAAACTTCACTAAGTGTGTGTTCCTGTCCTTCAGCTCCTCCAGAGATTGTTAGATGACCGCAGACCGACAGTGGAAATGATCCAGGCTGAAGGAGAGAGGATTGCAGCCACAGCAGACTCTCAGGACCGAGAGAAGATCCAGACCCAGCTGCAGAGTCTAGCAGAGAGATGGTCTGACCTGCTGGACAAGGCCAGCGGCAGGTAAAGCCCCTCACAGCTAAGGTGGCCCAAAGTGGGATTTACAGTCTTTGCTGGTGACAGAAAGACGCTCTCATGCGGTCTTCTGAAAAGCCAGATCTGCGTATCCTGATTTGGGTGACGATGCGCTTAAATCCAGCGCTGATTTGCTGAACAGAAAAGTATGCAAGAAGCACAAACACCGGCAGCAGTTTTCATTAGTTTAATACTCGTTTTCGAGAGTTGTCCACATATCTTCAACACGGTGCTCTGATTAGTCCACATAAAAACATGCAGATGTGGGTCTGCTTTGCTTTGCACCTACAAAATACCTGAGAGCTACTGTACCAGGTTCTGTGAGAAGAACCCAGGTCCAAGCTCTGATGGCGTTTTCTGTTTTTAGTCCCCTTCAGCGTCGTCAGTGCTAAAGTCTAAATCTTTATCCTTTTTTAAAGAAAAACGCAGCAGAGATGATTTATGAGTTAAGATGTTCCTTGCTGCGTGTAACGTTGTGACTTAAGTCTACCTCAACATCATGTTATCTGTGTGGCTCCATCGAACGCCTCTGTCTCTGAAGAAATGTTGGAATCATAACTTTTGGTTCCTGTGGTGTAATTTTAGAGGTTCTTTTGTTCACCAGGGAAATGATACACATAAATACACGAACACACAAAGCACAGCTAAGAGGTTTGATACCTCTGATGTGTCTGCTCGTGAAAAGTAGAGGAGTCATAATGTATAATGTTACTACACATTCATGCCCGGCTGCAAGCTGTAGCAGATGATAGAAGAATCTCTGACATGTCTCTGGAGTTTATTACAGCGTCTTTCTTGAACACACACACACACACACACACACACACACACACACACACACACACACAGTGTTGCTTTCTGTACAAACACGACATATCTATATACAAATAAACACACACACACACACACACACACACACACACACACACAGTGTTGCTTTCTGTACAAACACGCGATAAGCTTTTCTTGGCAATGACTCTCACTTATCTGCGCACAAAAGTCGTGTTTTCTTACCACTTTGCAAATCCTCCCTCTGCCTCAGTCAAGCTACAGTAATCTGTTTTATCTTTTCATGAAATACTTTTAAGCTGAATTATTTATGAGAAACATTTAATAAACAAAGATATAACCACTTTATGACAAACATCCAAGACCCAATCTGTCAGTGACACAAAAAACAAACTGTGAAAGCAATAAAGAGACCCCTCTCCTCCTGCCGCTCCTCCTCCTCTTCATCATGGAGTTTTCTCACCTCCTCCCCTCTCGTCTCTCAGACAAAGGCAGTTGGAGGAGCTGCAGGTTTTGGCTCTTCAGTTCCACGAAGCCCTCGAGCCACTCGGGGAATGGCTGAGCACCACGGAGAGACGCCTAAGCTCTGCTGAGCCTATGGGAACCCAGACGGCAAAGATCACCCAGCAGATCGTCAAACACAAGGTACGGTTTGCCCTCAGAGACCCGATTAGGGTAAGACGCTGACTTGCATTTAGATTTTCTAGATTTTCATTCCCCGTGTGTCGAGGGAAAAGACGACTCATCCATCCGGACGAGCAGAGTCGGCGATCTTCATTGATGAAAATCATCCTAGAACCACAAAGCACTGATTTACAATCAAAACATGACCTCCTACGAGTTTCCTTTTTTTGGTTTTTATTTCAGTGGTGTCAAGTTTTTTTCTCTTCAAGTCATTCAGTCATCCATTGATGTTTGTCGGTTATGATTTTATCATCTGCATGCTCATATTTAAGTTTTTATCCATGTTCTTTGTGTTTTTCTTTTCTTTGTTCACTTCCCTTCACTTCAAAAACACTCTCTCTCTCGCACACACACACACACACACACACACACACAAGAAACGCTCTCACACACACAACTGAAACGCTCTCACACACACTACTGAAACGCTCTCACACACAACTCAAACACTCTCACACACACACACACACACACACACACACACACACCTTCACTTCCCAGGCGCTCCAAGATGACGTGTCTTCCCGGGAAGCCGAGGTTGACCACCTCGAGTCGCTGAGCCAATCGCTGAGCCCGCTCAGCTGCGCGGCTGATCGCGATTGGTTAAGCGAACGTGTGGGATCGGTGAGGTCTGGTCACTCAGAGCTTGCTGATTGGTGCTCCAGGCGGGCGGGCCTGCTGGAGCAGGCACTGGCCAACGCTCAGCTGTTTGGGGAGGACGAGGTAGAGGTGCTGAACTGGCTGGCGGAGGTGGCTCAGAGACTGGCTCAGGTCTCTGTACAGAGCTATCGGCCCCAGGTGCTGGCCGAGCAGCACAAACACACTCTGGTACGACTTGATGAACACACGCTGAGTGTCACTAGAAGCGCTTCATCTCCTCAAAACTCAAGAACTTAGTAACTCTGTCTCTGAGAGAGCTGCACAAATATAAGATCCCTTCAGTAAGATAACAGTTTGTGTCATGGGCGTTAAACACTTTCAGTTACACATTTTCCAAAATCACAACAATTTATACTATAAAAAAATATGAATATT